CGCTAAATCATAGGGATAAGGCTAAGTATTTGTGACACTCATATCTTGCTGTGTGTTTATGCGTTTGGAGCGTATTATATCTCGTTGGAAAGATAGATCGGAGCTCTAAAGCTATTGTTCCAACTTCATTTACAATGCATTATTTAAAAGTTACAGATTAACTATATATTCACATATGTTTCTGATTTCACTCCGAACTCCTGTAGAGCTTGATGCGATCATATATTGCTCTATTTGGTGCCGTTGAAAGCGTTTAATACCTCGTTAGAAAGATCTTACCGAGTTCTAACACATGTCTTCAGGCGCTGGTTTCAAAATATCAAGGGATGATTGCCTAATTACTAAAATAAACTGTATTTACGCTTAAAGTGCTCTATTTTCGCTGAAAACGATAAATCATAGAGATAAGGCTAAGTATTGGTGACACTCATATCTCGCTGTGTCGTTGAAAGCGTTTCAACATATCATGTCTTCAGGCGCTGGTTTCAACATATCAAGGGATGATTGCCTATTTACTAAAATACACTGTATTTACGCTAAAAGTGTTCTATTTTACGCTAGGAGATTCCTTGTGGCGTGGGATTCTATCCATACAGGAGAGAGCCAGCTTCCCATTGACGATGGAGTTCCTATGCTCTCTACGGCCACACTGTGCACACAGGATCTGTCATTAGGCCGGCGACTCAGATGAGATTCACTATCATGGGCATCGAGCACTCCATCGCTGTGGCTGAGCTCGGATGGAGGATTGGGCTCTATGCTCCTGCATATACACAGACAGACGAGTTCTGTGCTCTCCCGACACATTTACCTGAGGCATTTGATATTGATGAGTTCTGGCACAGGCACTCCACAGACACCAGACCGTTCCTCCGCATGCACCCCCAGTCGAGCCGGTGGAGGCAGACTCACTGGTATATACTCTCCTTTGTACTCTCTTGTGGTTTTTTTGAACGACCTAACAACACGAACAGGTTGTCCAAAAAGGACATCCTATTCTTTTGGAGTCTGGTTCACCGCACCCCGGTGAATATGGCAGTCCTCTTGGCTCGTTTCTTCCGGAGTCAGGGGAAGAGTGTTCGCCGCACGATCCAGGCAGGGCCCTTCGTCACTACTCTCGTCCGGTCTTTCTATCCTGACCTAGACATTCCAGATCTACTCCCACTACAGGATAGCATTCGCATTCTTAGATCCTCATCCTTTGGGAACATGAGGATGAAGAAGAAGCGAAATATTCAGGAGCTGCCGGGCATTGAGCAGTCGACACAGCAGAGTAGCTCTTCTCGAGCCCCACCACACAGGAGACCTGGTGAGCCAGCCTCGGACATGCCTAGTGCCTCAGATTGGAGTGCGATGATGGACGCGATGAGGGGTCTTCAGACCTCATTCGTAGATTTTCAGGGTGCACAGGAGAGAGCATTTCGGGAGATGCGAGAGGCACATGCGTCGGCCCTGGGAGAGTTCAGAGATTATAGACTGGCACAGGAGGGAGCCAACAGGGATATTCTGGAGCAGCTAGAGACCCAGCGACTAGATATTGAGGAGATACGAGAGTGGCTGCGGCCTAGTCATGGATCACGGGATGACACAGGCGATGCCTAGATTTGCTTCTGCCTTGACATTTATTTTTTGTTTGTTTGTTTATTCAGGATTGGACATTGCGCTGCTCTTTTGACTTGAATGCTCTCACAAACTAGCTATGGATGCTGTAAGAATTTTTTTATTCCTGTTTTCATTATTCCTCTTCACAAAATCTTTTCAAAACTCAAGTGTGAGGAAAGAACCAAAAAAAAATGTGCCTTTATTTCTAAACTTTGTGCAGACCTCGAGGGCGAGGTCCAGCTCAAGTGTGAGGAGGTTGCGTTTTACACTCAAAATGTTAAAACCCTGTTTTAGATCAATCTTTTTACTATTTTTGATATGAAACATTCACCTCTCAATTGTTATCAATCACATAATAGCTTAGAGGATCACCCTTATTATAAGAATTTACTTTTATTATTATTTTTAGAAAACTTGAAATTGTTATGGATTTTTGGTTGCGAATGTAAGGGGTCGATTTTTTTTTAATTGGACATTCATTTTATTCAAAAAAAAAAAAAAAATACTTTTTAATAAATCTCTTCAAAACTCATTGTTATAGGACAATTCCATCTCCGAAAAGGGGCTCTGTTTCATTCGTTAATCATAGTCTGTGAGAATGAAATATGCATCTACCATGGGATAACACCGCCAACAAGAGTCGAAAAGAGACAAAAAAAAAAATATAATAATAATTTGTGAATAAGATAAATGTCCAAATTAGAATAATGAAAACCTTGGGATAAAGAATTGATTGGTGGTTTAACATAATCAATAGTTTTATAATAATAATTTTAAATTCTTGTATTTTGGGTGATTTTTCTAAAATGTTTAAAAATTGACAATAAAAAGGGGGATTTTTGTTTCTATTTCTTTAATAGCAATTCGATTATGATTCAGTCAGGTTTTACCATTTTTGAGTGTGTTTGCAACTAATTTGTCGCTTGAGGACAAGCAACGCTTAAGTGTGAGGAGATTGATAAGTCCATTTTTGTACTTATTTTTCTTATCGAATTTAAATGATTTTGGACTGAAAAACAGAAAAACAAGGCATGTTTTATATATTTTGGTTCAAGTTTCGTGAAATCAGGTAAAAATCACATCCATTATATGTTTGATGAAATTTCGGGTCAATTTAGCACAAAATGCGTCAATTCGAGTAACAAATGATATCATACCGAAAAAAGGAAGCAGAATTTCAAAGTGGTCCAGAAGGGAAAGTTAAAGAGCACAAAATTCAGAACAAGACGGACAAAAAAACCTCACAGGCGCCCAAATAGGCGCCCAGATTGGCCGCCTACCAGGCCGCCTACCAATTGTTGAAAAAAAATCAATTTTGATCAAAATTGACCGGACCGGAGAAAAACGGAAGGCGGCCGACACTGGACGGAAGGCGGCCGCCTTCGATGGCCGCCTGCGGCACAAGGCGACGAACCAACCACCGGCCGGTGGGATTTGACGGCAGGCGGCCAGACAGGAACGGCAGGCGGCCGCCTGCCGGACCGCCTGCGGCGGACGAGTTGACCGGCGTCACGTCCTGCTGGTGACGTGACGGAAGGCAGCCGGGCCAGGACCAGAGGCGGCCGCCTGTTTGGCCGCCTACCAGATTTTTTTTTGCTATAAATACCCCGATTTTTGCTGAACTCAAACACACCTCTTCCAACCCTAATTCAGTTCAAAAAGGTCCTCTTCCTCGGCTATTTCCGCAGCTCTAAGGATTTTTGGGAGAGAGAAACTTCAATTCTTCATATCTTCTTCATTTTAGCTTCAAATTGTAAGTTCTTTATATGTATTTTCATCTTCTCAACGAGTAGAATCTGAATCTGTACTTTGTTTTCTCGATCTGTTCTTCGAATGTTTCCAGAAAATTTATTTAGTATTTCGTATTTTCTTCCATAAATTAAATAAAATAGTTGTTGATGTTTAATTCATTCCAATTAATTATATAGTTGTTCACTAGCCTCAAGGTTGTTATTTATCTGAAAAAAGATAATTTTCACGAAGTGCAAGTAATTGTTAATTAATTTCGGTAATTAGGTGTTGTTATTGCATAAATTAAATTAATTACTTAAAAAGAGTAAAAAATTTGTTTCGGCCCTAATTCCAGTTATTTCACTGTAGTATCGCTCCCAGTAGTCAATCGAAAATTTAGAACGAATTTAGCCTATTTTTAATTGCCTTTTGTATTTTATAGTTAAAAGTGGGAAAATTATCAATTAGGGTTAAAATTGGATTTTTGGTTTAAAAATTCGTGGAAAATTCCGAAAAGTCATATTGTAGTTCCAGAGAGTTTTTTTTGACAATATCTTATTTTTGTTTAATTTTTGCTATTATACATGTTTAATTCCTTGTTAATGTTTAATTTATTTACCATATTGTTGAATGCAAAAATAATGTTTAGTAGCTAAATTTGTTTTGGGCATGAATTGAGTAAAGGAATATGGATTGACTTGTTAGCCGAAAATTAGGGGTTAAAATTAATTAATTGAGCTAGTTATTCAATTTGATGAATTAGTAATTAATAATTTTTAGCCAATTTCATTAGTTAAATTTTGGAAAATTATTTCTAACTTGTCTATGAGATTAGTAAGTAATTTGAGCCATCTTTATTCAAGCACATTAATAAGGCCTAGAAATAGGATAATTTTAATGAAATGGATTTACATCTTGTCTATGAGAATTAAATTCAAATTGCTTAAATAATGAATTTAATTAGTTAATGAATTTGGCTATTTTTATTAATTAAAATTTTGGGGAATTATTTCTGCCTTGTCTATGAGATTAGAATTTAATTCAAGCCAACCATTTTTGAATACATTAATGAACCCAGAAATAGGATAAATTAATGAAAGTAATTTCTATTTTTGTCTATGAGAAAAGAAATTACTAGTCCAATTGTTGTTTTAATTCCCCTAATTACTAGGTCCAAGAATATATCCATTTCCAATTACTCAATTCATTGCCCTTACTTGCCTCAATAATTTTTTAGAATATTTAAATCCTAAATCTTTTAGTTGAAATTTGCTCCTAGTGTAATTGTGCAATTTGGCCTAGTCTAGAATACAATCACCCTTTTTGTATTGAAAAAGCTTCCAACAATTAGCGATAGCCCGTGACTAAGACTAAATTAAGAAAACTCCTCCGCCATTCCTCAAGAGACACGATACTCGGGAAAAAACCGAAAGGTTAGACTCCGTTTTACTACAACGCCGCGAAAGCGGGTTATCAACACAGCAAGATATGAGTTTCATAAATAGTTAGCCTTATCTCTATGATTTAGCGTTTTCAGCGAAAATAGAACACTTTTAGCGTAAATACAGTGTATTTTAGTAAATAGGCAATCATCCCTTGATATGTTGAAACCAGCGCCTGAAGACATGAGTGTCAAGCGTAAATACAGTTTATTTTAGCGAAACCAGCGCCACAAGGAATCTCCTAGTAGAGCATCAATGTCGGCCCAGTATCCCCATTCCTCGAGCATCCTCTTATCCAGGATCATGGGAGCTAGAAGGGTGCGGTACTGCCCCCACGTCTGGAAGCGTGTGCGGTCAGCATCAGTAGCGAATGGGATATCTGGTACGTGCACTGGGTCATGCCTAGCCAGTGGTGGCTCCTGAAAGATGGGATCGTCGCTTCCTCCTCCAGACATCTGCAAAAAAAAAAAACAAAATAACATTTTTTTTTTTAGGTTAGTTTATTTTTTTTTTTTTTTTTTTTGTTTTTTTTTTTTTTTTGTTTTTTTTTTGGGGGATGCCTCCCAATGAGCGCTTCTTTAACGTCACTAGCTTGACGAATTTCCTCCTTTGGTTCAAAATTTCTGGAGATAGAGAATCTCCTTGCTTTTTTCGACCGGGCCACCGTGGTAAAGTTTGAGTTGGTGGCCATTGACCTTAAAGGGACCCCCGCTTGCATTTTCGATCTCGATGGTGCCATAGGGGTAAGTTTTCACGACCGTGAACGGTCCGGACCATCTTGATTTCAGTTTTCCCGGAAAAAGTTTTAACCGGGAGTTGAACAGTAACACCTTGTCCCCAGCATTGAAACCACGGGCCTTGATGTGTTGATCATGATAGAGTTTGGCCCGTTCTTTGTAGAGTTTGGAATTATGAAAAGCTTGCGCTCTCCACTCTTCCAGTTCATTTAGCTGGTAAAATCGTTCTTTTCCTGCAGCGTCAAGTTTGAAACACACATTTTTCATCGCCCAAAGTGCTTTATGTTCGAGTTCAACGGGTAGGTGGCAAGACTTCCCGTATACTAGGCGAAATGGAGTGGTTCCAATCGGGGTTTTGTATGCGGTTCGAAATGCCCAAAGTGCGTCGTCAAGTTTAGTTGACCAGTCTTTCCTGGTCTGGGCAACAGTTTTCTCTAAAATGGACTTCAAATCCCTGTTAGTGTTCTCAACCTGCCCCTGAGTCTGGGGGTGGTACGCTACTCCGCTTCGGTGCTGGACTCCATATTTGGCCAAAAGTCGGGCCATAGGGTCATTATGAAAATGAGTCCCTCTATCACTGATCAAAACCCTAGGCACACCTGTAATACCCGAGATTAATTTAAGAGGATTAATAGTACTACTCATACCAACAAGGTGCATCTCCTTTTAAGGGAGCTCGTTAGCCAAGAACTCCAAAGTTAAGCGTGCTTGCACGGGAGTAGTCTTGGGATGGGTGACCCCCTGGGAAGTTTCTCAGGGCGCGCACGAGTGAGGACAAAGTGCGCGGAAAAGGCTAGTGGCGGTTTGTGAGGACAGTACTAGAGGTCAGAAGTAACTACCTCGGGGCCTACGGGGCCGGGGTGTTACTAATGGTATCAGAGCAACCCAGCAACAGTGTGCTGATCCGTTAGATATCGGGCGGGCACTTAGCAGGGGAAAAGATTCTGGGATATGATTGATATTGGTTTATGGGCGCAACGAGGACGTTGCGATCCTAAGTGGGGGTGATTGTAATACCCGAGATTAATTTAAGAGGATTAATAGTACTACTCATACCAACAAGGTGCATCTCCTTTTAAGGGAGCTCGTTAGCCAAGAACTCCAAAGTTAAGCGTGCTTGCACGGGAGTAGTCTTGGGATGGGTGACCCCCTGGGAAGTTTCTCAGGGCGCGCACGAGTGAGGACAAAGTGCGCGGAAAAGGCTAGTGGCGGTTTGTGAGGACAGTACTAGAGGTCAGAAGTAACTACCTCGGGGCCTACGGGGCCGGGGTGTTACAACACCAAACCTCGTAAACAACTTTTTCAGAAAATTCACGACTATTCGAGAGTCGTTGGTGACGCAGGCCTGAGCTTCAACCCACTTAGAAACATAATCAATGGCCACAAGAATGTATTTGTTCCCTCTTGAGCTGGGAAAAGGTCCAACAAAGTCGATGCCCCAAACATCAAATACCTCACAAGGTAATATATAGTGTTGGGGCATCTCATTGCGCCCAGAAATGTTCCCGATTCGCTGACAATTATCACACGAGGAAACAAATACATTAGCATCTTTAAAAATCGTGGGCCAGAAGTACCCACAGTCCAGAACCCGTCTGGCAGTTCTATTCCCTGAAAAGTGGCCCCCAGTAGGACCGCTGTGACAATGTTTCAGTATGTCTCTTCCCTCAGCTTCAGTAACACATCTTCTCACCACCTGGTCAGCACAAATTCGGAATAGATATGGATCATCCCAAAAATAGTGCCTTGCTTCTGACAGGAACCGCCTCTTCATGTGCCTTGTTAGGTCGGTAGGCTCGACGTTACCAACAAGGTAGTTGGCAATGTCGGCATACCATGGTGTTTGTTCCTTGGCGGATATTGCCATTAACCTCTCCGCAGGAAAAAGTTTCTCCACCTCGCATCTTCCAAAGGTTTCTGCTAATTCGACATCTAACCTTGAAAGGTGATCAGCTGCCTGATTAGCAGACCCTTTTCGGTCCCTGATTTCAATATCAAATTCCTGCAACAAAAGAACCCAGTGTAACAGTCTAGGCTTAGCATCATGCTTTTGGAGGAGATATCTAATGGCCGAATGATCGGTATAGATAATAACCTTCGAAAGAATGATGTAAGTCCTAAACTTCTCTAAAGCACAAACAATAGCAAGGAATTCTTTTTCAGTCGTGGTGTAGTTCAGTTGTGGTCCGGATAGAGTTTTGCTAGCGTAGTAGATCGGGTGGAAGTTCTTGTCCTTCCTTTGGCCGAGAATGGCTCCCACTACTAAGTCATTAGCGTCACACATGAGTTCGAAAGGTAAACTCCAATCCGGGGCCACAAGTACTGGAGCATTGATAAGTTGTGTTTTAAGTGTTTGGAAAGCTTGGTGACATTCATCAGAGAATATAAAAACCGCATCTTTTTCAAGTAACCGGGTGAGAGGTTTTGCGATTTTAGAGAAATCCTTTATAAAACGACGATAAAAGCCCGCGTGTCCCAAGAAACTGCGGATGGCTTTTACCGTGGTTGGTGGAGGGAGTTTCTCTATCGTTTCAATTTTCGCACGGTCAACCTCGACCCCGTTACTTGACACTTTGTGTCCAAGTACTATACCCTCTTTCACAAGGAAGTGACATTTCTCCCAACTTAAGGCTAAGTGGGTTTCCTTGCAGCGGATAAGTACCTTTTCCAGGTTTTCCAGACATTTTTCAAAGGATTCCCCAAAAATAGAGAAATCATCCATGAATACCTCCATGAAGTGGCTAATGTATTTTTCAAATATGGCAATCATGCACCTCATGAAAGTGGCAGGAGCATTACAGAGACCAAAAGACATCCTACGAAAAGCAAAGGTCCCAAAAGGGCATGTGAACGTAGTTTTGTCTTGGTCTTCCGGGTTGACATGAATTTGGAAGTATCCACTCATGCCATCTAGGAAACAATAATGACTATGGCCTGCCAACCTCTCTATTAATTGATCGATGAAGGGGAGGGGAAAATGGTCCTTCCGGGTGGCTTCATTCAATTTGCGGTAATCAATTACCATTCGCCACCCGGTAACAGTTCGACTGGGCAGAAGTTCACCCTTTTCATTTTTCGTGACAGTCATTCCCCCCTTTTTGGGGACAACATGAATCGGGCTTACCCATTGGCTATCAGAGATGGGGTAAATGATACCCGCATCCAGCAGTTTGACGATTTCAGCACGCACTACTTCCATCATGTTTGGGTTCAAACGTCGTTGTGGTTGGACGACAGGTTTAAACCCTTCCTCTATCTTGATGGTGTGGGTACAAAAGGTTGGACTTATTCCATTGATGTCCTCAAGTTTCCAAGCAATTGCTTGCTTGTGTGTCTTAAGGACTCCAAGTAATTTGCCCCTTTGTTCCTCACTTAAGTGTGCGGCGATGACGACAAGGCATTTGCCTTCGTCATCCAAGAATGCGTATTCTAAATGGTCAGGGAGTTTCTTTAGTTCAAGGGGGTGGTCATTTCTTAAGTTTTGTTCATTTTTCTCCCCCCCGAACTCAGACATTACTTCGTGAGAAGCTTGCTCAATTATTACGTCCTCACAACTCTCGCATGCATCACTCCTGTCACTGTTTGCTTCTTTTAACAGACATGCTTTATCACTTACATGTCCATTCTCTCCCCCAAATAGATATCCTTCAATTGATTCGAAAGTATCAAGAAAATGACATCCTTGCAAGGAATCTATGGGGTGTTTCATAACATCGGAGAGTCGGAAGGTGCATAAATCATCTCCAACTCTTAGAGTTAATGAGCCATCAGTGACATCAATCAAGGCCCTGGCGGTAGCCAGAAAGGGCCTTCCCAGAATAAGAGGTGTCTCCCTATCCTCTTCCATGTCCATTACTACAAAGTCGACTGGGAAAATGAATTTGTCAACCTTGACCAAGACGTCTTCAATAATTCCTTTCGGATATTTGACTGAGCGATCAGCCAGTTGAAGACACATCCTGGTGGGTTTCATTTCCCCAAGTCCTAGCTTCTCGACTATAGAGGAGGGCATCAGGTTGATACTCGCCCCTAAGTCAGCTAGAGCATTATTGAAATTGAAATTGTCAATTGAACAAGGGATAGTGAAGCTACCTGGATCCTTTAGCTTTTCAGGTATTGACCTTTGAACCACCGCTGAGCATTCTGCATTTAGGTCCACGACTGAGAGCTCCTGCAGCTGTCTCTTGTTTGTCAGCAAGTCCTTGAAGAACTTGGCATATTTTGGCATCTCCACCAATGCATCCATCAGCGGCAGGTTGACGTGGAGTTGTTTGAGTAGGTCTAGGAATTTGTTGTACTTCCTACTATCGTCATCATTTCTAACCCGTGAAGGAAACGGGAGAGAAGGTTTGACAATGGTGACCTTTGTGTTAGGGCATGTTGGTTCCATGCTCTTCTCAGTTGGAGCATCAATATGTTTTTCAGGTGTCATGCTAGGGTTCTCCTCCTCATTGTTCTTCTGCTTGTCCTCGGTTGTTTGTCTCCCACTTCGGAGAGTGATAGCTTGCACATGTTCACGGGGATTAGGTTCTGTAGTGCTAGGCAAATTGCCAGGCTGACGACCGGGAACATTATTCTGAGTAATTTGCATCATCAGAGTTTTGATCTGATTGTCAGTGTTAGCTTTGTATTTTGCCATTTCCTCCCGTTGCCTTGCTAGTTCAGCTACCAACAAGCCTATATCCGAGGTTTGGGCCGCCTCTGTTTGTCGTATATGTGGGGGCACGTAAACCTGATTGTTCTGGGTTGATTGGTTTACTGCCCCTCCTTGGCTTCGCCCGTGGAAGTTGTGCCCTTGATTGTTGTTGATGGGGTAGCTCTGGTTACCTTGGTAACCTCCACGAGGAGGACCATTGTTGTAATCCCCCCGCCATTGGTTGCCCTGGTAATTTCTCCCCTGGTAATTCTGGGGAGGGTAATTTGTGTTACCCCCCCCTATTACCTTGATTTGCCCATGGCCCTTCTTGTTTCGTTCGGCCATATTCCAGCATGTTTACCTCCCTGTTGTTACTTACATTACAATCATCAACTAATTGACATGAATTGGTCAAATGCGGACCAAAACATATCTCACAGGAGAGTACAAGTTCAGTAGAATTAGAAACAGGCGAATAAACATTAAATTGTGATGAGTGTGGGGCAGAGTTTGAGTTCCCAAAGTAACGGTATGGTTGCTGATTCGGGGCAGCACCTATGTGGTTGACCTGGTTGGTGTGATTGTTTTCGCCCTTCAGATTTTTCACTTCCACCACCAACCCTTCAATTTTTGCGGTTAAGGCCGTGAGTTGGTCAACTTCGAGATAGCCTGGTTTTGTGGCTACTGGAGTTCTTTCATCGTACCAGTATCTTGCGTTGGAAGTAACCTTCTCCACCAGAGCTTCATTGGCGTCGGGCGCCATATCAAGGAACGATCCCACCTGCGAAGAGAAATCAAGCTCTTTTTTGCTTCCAACTTGAAGCCCATTATAGAAATGGAACATCAAGCTGCTAGGGTCCATCAGTGTGAGTGGACACTTGTTTCTCATATCCTTGAAGCGATCCCATGCTTCATTTAATGATTCCGTCGGGAATTGCCTAAAATTTTGGATTGCTGTTTTAATTTTAGCAACCGCCGACGGAGGAAAGTACTCTTGCATGAACGCCTGGTGTAGTGCTGCCCATGTCGTGAAATGTCCTGTTGGAAAGCTATCCAACCATAGAGATGCCCTATCTCGAAGTGAGAAAGGAAATAGGGTCAGCTTTACAGCGTCAGGAGTCACTCCGTTGAAGCGGAATGTTTGGCACGCTCTGGTGAACCACAGCATGTGGGCCCTGGGATCGTCTTGTTTGGACCCGCCAAATTGATGATTAGACATCATGTTGATAATGGCGGGTTTTATCTCGAAGTTGGCCGCCTCTATTGTTGGTGCGCTTATGCTATCATCCTCGATGAAGCTTGGCGTGAGGTTTTGCAACACCGTCTTTTGGTCCGTCATGATTGGTTTCTTGTGGATCAAAAGATTTTTCCACAAAGTTCGTTCAGGTTCAGGATTAAGTTCAAGTAGCCCTTCCACTCCTTTAGAGCGGGTGTGCATTCATTTATCCTGAAATCTTTATACAAATGTCGCAAGTGCGAAAAAGTCTCCCTAACTAGAATTCACCTATGCTAGAACTAGATTAAGAAATTACCGTGCCATTCCCCGGCAACGGCGCCATTTGATAACCCGCTTTCGCGGCGTTGTAGTAAAACGGAGTCTAACCTTTCGGTTTTTTCCCGAGTATCGTGTCTCTTGAGGAATGGCGGAGGAGTTTTCTTAATTTAGTCTTAGTCACGGGCTATCGCTAATTGTTGGAAGCTTTTTCAATACAAAAAGGGTGATTGTATTCTAGACTAGGCCAAATTGCACAATTACACTAGGAGCAAATTTCAACTAAAAGATTTAGGATTTAAATATTCTAAAAAATTATTGAGGCAAGTAAGGGCAATGAATTGAGTAATTGGAAATGGATATATTCTTGGACCTAGTAATTAGGGGAATTAAAACAACAATTGGACTAGTAATTTCTTTTCTCATAGACAAAAATAGAAATTACTTTCATTAATTTATCCTATTTCTGGGTTCATTAATGTATTCAAAAATGGTTGGCTTGAATTAAATTCTAATCTCATAGACAAGGCAGAAATAATTCCCCAAAATTTTAATTAATAAAAATAGCCAAATTCATTAACTAATTAAATTCATTATTTAAGCAATTTGAAT